CTCGACAAAAAGGAAAAATAAATATGTTGCAAATTTGCAACACTATACATTTAAGGGTTAAAAATAATAAATAATTAAATAGAATAATTAAAATTAGTAAGTAGGTAAATAAAGCAACAAACTTTCCTCTTTCATATTTTCTTTATCATTTTTGACGTTGCCAACTTTGACAGAAGTTAAAGATTGCAAAAAGATGAAAAAGAAACAGTTATCCTCAAACAAATATGCAAAAGTATGAATCAACTACAAATGTAGCATAAATGAATCACAATTTAACTGACGACCACTTTTAAATATTATAAGCGGCAGAGATTTTATTTATCCTCTCTAAATTTCTTGAAGATTTACTCCTAATAAATGAAAGTATCATTGTGATCATAAGAGCGAATATTTTATTCATGCTAAAAGTATATTTCTCTCTGTATGCGAATGCATGTAGCAATAATTCATTAAAGTGGAAACATTCTTATTGCACGAGACATATATTTTACCAGCAGTTAAATAAAATACATAATTAATATATTGCTTATTGAAATTAAAAATAAAAATAAAATATAAGTATAATAATAAGATAAATATGAAGTAATTCCTAAATAAGTGTGCTTCTCCAGACCTTACATGAAAAACACGATAACGACATTATCTCGAAATTCTTCGTTGTTTTATAACATATTACTGATAATTGTCATTTTGATATATTTTTACACAACTATTTTATGATATAATTATATATAGGCAACGAAATTTACGAAATCGACAACTATCAATTACGTAATATAAGATAGTTGCCCTGGCGCAATTACATTTATGTTGCGTTTGCAGTTTATTCATATTTTTGCATATTTGTTTGAGGCTGATAACTGTTTCTTTTTCATCTTTTTGCAATTTCTAATTTCTGTCAAAGTTGACAACGTCAAAAACGATAAAGAAAGTATGAAAGAGAAAAGTTTATTGCTTTATTTACCTATTTACCAATTTTAATTATTCTGTTTAATCCCACGCTTTTCATATTTATATTTTTTAATATTTTATATATACAAAATGTTGCTCGGCTCCTAACCGATTATGATGCGGACCCGAAATCATGATAACTAGAACTTCGTTGGAAAAGTATACGACTATATCGACTAGAATTATTTAGACGCACACATCTTTGAACAGGCAACCCTTCGTAATGAGTCATACGTTGATGCAACATCCTATACGTAATTTGTACATAAGTTAGAGTGTATGTGCGAAATAAGAGCACAAAGAATAGTGCTGTCTTCTTGTACGACTATAGGTTATAAAAGGTTTAAAAAAAGATATTTTGCAGTCTTTATGGTTTATACATCGACATTCTTTTACCACAAAATGTCTTAACGGTATTTTCTTACAAAAAGCAGATCAATTAATATTTTAAAGTTTATACAGAAACTTCTTGTCACATGTTCTTGATCTTCCATTACGTGAATAATCTTTTACACTTCTCGTTCTTTTCAAATACAGATTGGATACAGAATCGGATGCTTCTTTTGAATTGCTATTTTTAAATTGTCTAATTGTTGACATTATTTGTCAGAGTTAATCGTTTGGCCAACAAAGAGCAACTTGAATCGTATTTATCAATTCCTGTTCAGATATCCTTATATGGGATTCAGTCCGGGGGGTTAGAGGAGCATCTGTTTTTGAGTAACCAGTGTCTACATCGATCATTCTATTATTGCTGTCAATGTTTGGTGCAAAGACCTAACTAGGTGAGTAGTAAATGTTTCAGCTTTCTTCAAATCGTTCACCGTCCAACTCTTGTCAGCTTTCCATAAAGATAGTGAAATTTCTTGGGGTTGTTTTATTTTCCTCGTCGCCCTCCACAATGAGTAGCCCTGTAGTCTTTGTGGCATCAAGATTACTTAAATAATGTTGAACCCCATTGTTTCTTTCATTTACAAGCATTATCTTGTGGTCTTTCGTTTCTAGGTTCAGTTGTTTTTTGATTTTTGGACATCTTGTTCTCTGCCACAATTTACTTATTTTCCTATTTTTGGCAATTTTTTCCCTGATATTCTGTGAGCATTCATAGATACAACTAGTCTCAGCAGGTTCAGGAGTAGCTTCCCTGCTGCAGCCTGCTACACACAATCGTTAAAGTACTGTACTACCTCCATTAGTTTATTGTCATTATCTGCGAGCATATCAATGTTTAGAATGGTCGATACAAGTTCGCGGAATAGACACCAGTCCGTCCTCTTATTGTGGAGTCTGCAGGGATACTCTTTAAGTAAAACTTGGCTGCACAAGGTAATTAGAACAGGAATATGGTCAGACAACAGGTCAAAGTTAATTTTACAATCGATATATTGGTTGGAGATGCCCTTGACAACTACAAAGTCAATGAGATCAGAAACTCTATTTTTGTCCGCTGGCTAGTAAGTGGGTTGTCCAGTAGAAATTACTTTGAAGTTCAATGCATTAATTGTATGGTATAGCTCGCACTCTTTTGGTGTAGTTAGCTTAGACTCCCAATGTATATGCTTGGCATTAAAATCTCCGCCTCCAATGAAGCGCAGCCCAAGTAGTTCGAATAGCGTTTTGTAATGTTCTTCCTTATTGCTAAATTTAGGTGGGCAGTAAATCGCCAAGAGTGTAGCAGAACCATTCCAGTTCGTAACGACTATATTTGTGGCTTGGATGTGATTTTCTCTTAAGGACTTTGCTGCATGGTGTCTAATGTTACCTTTAATTATGACAGCTGACCCGCCATGTGCAGAGCCACTAGGGTGCATAGTATGGTAAAACTTATATTTTGACATAGAAAAAAGTTTTTATTAGTGAAATGGGTTTCAGTTATCAGCATAACATCAATGTCATTCATCTTTATGAAGGTTTTTAGCCCAAGCGCATGCTTGGCTAGCCCATTGGCATTCCACAAGGCAATTTTTATTAAGTTGAATGTAACTACATATTGACAACTAAGTTTGTTATTAAATTTGTTATCTTGTTCATCTGGTTCATTAGTTCCTTGATTAATGTCAGCATTTCATCATTTGTTCTATTGCCGTCTTCTTTGACTTCCATAGTCTTATTGTTCGTTTGTGATTTTCCCTTGCATATGATATCCCCGGAGTACCTGGTTCATCTTTAACTTACTTATATTATTCTCCGTATTTTTTTGGAAGGTTTCCTGTACCATATTTCTCGCCCTAAGTGGGGGAAACTTAGCTTTTTGAAGTAGTTTATATACGGTGCAACCCCCAATTTACAAGATAGTTGCCTTGACAAAGCACACACTCAATATTATCAGATCTGATCTTCCTAGGGCAACTTACTGTTGGATGATCTTCAGCGCATTTTACGCGCCTAGGTTTCCTGTAGCAAAATTTTTTCATATATCCATAGCGCTGGCAATTTGCACACTGAGGAATTTCTCTTCTTGCTCGAGGTGGTTCAAAAATTACTCGGCAATACAAAATGGATGTGATATTATAAATATTTTTATTGTTAGGCCCAGGTTTCAAGTCTACTATAAATATAAGCAACGGTACCTTTGTTGTCCTATGCTTTATATTCCATAAGTTGTCCACACTATGTCCTAAATCTTCTAACTCTTTTTTAATGTCATCTGGATTTTTTGTAAGGTGTATTCTTTAAGATAAGGGTATTCTTTAAGATAACTTTAAAGCTCCTATCTTGTTTTAGCTTATATATGTGAAATTCTGTGTTTTTAGTTTTCAGTTCTCTGACTATTGTAGTGTAGGCTTCTATGGTCTTTGGTTGAATTTTAACCTGATCGGCCCTCAAAACTTTTATTTCATAATTACCATGTGCTTTGCAGTTGAGTAATTCTATAAGAGGCTGGGTGTTGCTGGCTCCATCAACAAATATGGGCGGAGATTGGACTGGTTTTTCTTTGGGTATTTCAGCTTCATCATTTGCATCATCCAGAGCTTCAAATCTATTCAACGTTTTGATTGGAGCACTTAGCCAATTAACTTTTGCTTGCTTGAGAGTTTTAGTGGTCTGCTCTGGACTATTTCTTGGAGTCTTCTTGGTGTCTCTCTTACTAACTTCTGTCCACAGCAGACTCCGTCCTTCTTATAATTTATTAATTCTATTAATTTATTAATTAAAAAAGAGTGAAAACTATATTAGTAAAAACACTAGTATATAAGATTCTTTATTCACTAGATAATTATAAATTCACAAAGCTTTCATGTAATATACACAACTAAGTTTTCCAAACTGCATTTTAACTTTGCATCTCTATATAATACTCTTTATTATGAAACAAAACTTTAAGTATTTCATTGTGAGTATAAATTGCACGCTTGCAGAAATATTTATAATATATTATAACGTACTATGTTGTAGTTTTTTTATAAATTTCTTTCTGATAATAAAAATATACCATATATAAAATGTTTATCGTTAGTGTCTCATCCGCTATATATTTATAATTTAGGTCAATGTGAACAAAAAAGTATCTTGTATCATTTTACAAATAGTAAAAAGTCTTGTATCATTTTACAAATAACCATATATATTTTTGAATTATTAATTAAAAAAGATAGAGGAAAACAATCACGTCCTCCGCCATTTGTATCTTGCCGCTAATCGCATCGCGCACAATTATTTACCCATTTTCTTTAATTAATAACTTAAAAATGTAGTTGTTTGCAAAATGGTAAAGGACTTTTTGCTTACATTGATCTACATTTTAAGTATATGATAGATGAGACACTTATATAGCGACAAATATTCTATAAAAAAATATATGTAATATTATACACACAAATTTCATATGCTTGGCAAATTCTCCTTGCTAATGCACAGATGATAAAAGGAAATTCGATATGTTATGTATCCTAATTAATTTAATTTACAAATATATTATTTCATGAAAATCGTGTGCATTATTTATAAAATTTATGATTTTATGTTCCTATTCTCTTAAAAAAACTTACTATATAAGCTTATAATCACAAATATGGGATCAAATATATACTAATAGTACCAACACTATCTAGAAGAATATATTCTCCTTTATCTTATATTCATATAAATCTTATAAACATAAGAGTTCATAATGCAGGTGGTATTTGTCATAGAGTATACATATATTACATATGGTACTATATATACATATACTCTACAATGATTTACATAGTACTATACATACATAATTGCTATTAATTATGTGTAATATATCCAATCCTACCCTAAGCCACTGGGAAAGGAAAAAAGAAAACAAAAATATACATATCATTTGCTAATCTTTTTGCCAAATATGTGTCAATGAAAATCCATGAAACCAAAAACAATAGTGATCAGTCAGAAAGACTTTTCGTTTAGAAAAAGTCGCACAGAAAGAGTCCATGTTTTTAATCCACGTTTCTGGTCCACTTGAAAACCGCTACAGTTTCATATATATTTTCTGCTGCTTGGTCCTTATCATATTCCTCTTTCAAGTAGAACATTTTAAGGCTCTCCTGCATGTAACACTCCAAGACGTCCCATTTTTCAAAAAGCTTAAGGGAATTTTTTATCGGATCAACACATAAACTTTCCCCTATATGAAAAGAAAAATCAATGATATATTCTGTGAGTATAAAAATATTTTAATTTTTATAAGATCAAGAAGTCCGATACAAAATTAATCCTCCGTCGGCAATATGGAGATTTAAAAGATAGCCGATTTTTTAATTTTATTGAATTTCAGGATAACTGGGGATAGCAGAATTCGATGGATTTTATAAATCCTTACAAATTTCTTTTTGATTTTCAAAACCAGAACAAGTTAGCTTACAGCCCAAATCGAGATCTGGCCTACCACTCTCTTCATATGCGTGGTGACGCACACTAATTATACACAGGCATATGGGACTATAGTTTGAAACCCATTTCGAACGGCTATTATTTTTGAGAGAGGTTTTCGAGGCAATAATACTCTTTCGGTGATTTGCCAGACTTCGGAGAGGAGACACAAGCGTACGAAAAATTGGTTGGTTCTGCTGAGGATCGAACTAAGGATCTCTGGCATACCAGACTAGTACGCTGTCTGTTACCGCGACGCTCGCGCTCAAGAAAACAACCTTATAATGATAATTTTATAAGATTTGAAATGAATTAATTGTAAGGTTTGAGCGCGAGCATGGCATAACAAACAGCGCACTGGTCTGCTATACTAGCAGTCCCGGATTCGATCTCGGTAGAAACCAAAATATTTACGCTCGTGTCTCCTCTCGGAAAGAAGTGGCAACCTATCAAGAGTACCTTTGCCATGAACATCTCTCTAGAAAATTTGCTGTTCGGAACTAGCGTTAAAACAGTAGGTCTCACATGCCCATGTATAATCCGCGTGCGCACCACAAGCATGTAAGAGAGGTCATCACAGCCTAGCCACGGGCAAAGGACTAGGAAGAAAGTTCGGTTTAAAAATGTTATCTCCTTAGAGATACAACTGTGAATCCGCAAGATGTGAAAAACGATATTTTAACCACATATTATAATTAATTTCAAATTTTATGAAAATTAAAGATTTAATCAGAACTTTTCAACTGAAACTGTTCGGAAAAAATATTTAAAAATATTCAGGAACACTCGGAAATATTCAGAAATTTTCATTCTTTTTGTCTGAATTTTTCTGAAAAATGTTCTAATTAGTATAAAAGATGGGAAACTTTCTGAAAAAATCTTAAAATTTTCATAGAAATTCTAAGAAATAATATGAAAAATTTTTAAATATTTTTTCATCAGGGAGATCTTCAAAATCTCAGATTGCTGACGAAAGGAATTAAATTATACGTTGTCGCCGGAGGATTAAACATGCTATTTTATAGATGGACATTCTTATACAATACAAAACTATGACAAAAAATTTTACAATGTAGATAGAAAAATTTTTCAAATTGTTTTACAATTTATATTAAAATAAATAAAGATTGTGACAAACTTTTTTTTTGTATAATTTTGCAACGAAAAAATACTAATGTATAAATATAGACACATGTTAAGACTAATGTTTAAACATATATTTATATACAGGATGTTTCAAATAAGCAAATAAGTACAAACATTTCAAAAGTAAAACGGTTTCGTGAAAAATGTTTCAAATGAAAATTATTTGGCATCAAAGGGAATATCAAACTATGCAAACTATGTGTTGTGAAAACTTAGGACATGATTCTACCTCACGACTACACGGATACATACTATATATATGTTAGTAATAGCAGCGAGTTCACTGTTAAGGGGTCCACGTTCCAAGTTTTCACAATACTGAAATTATGACATATATATAACCTTGTACATATTTGTTATGGTCACATCGAATTGTTTAAATGAAAATGTGATTTTTTTAACACAAGTCAAATGCATATAAATATGTAATATGACTCGATTATCATTTTATATAATCGATTTGTTATGTAAAAAAATTATATTCTATTTAAACAATTCAAATATTTTTCACCGAATCATTTTATTTTTAAGATGTTTGTATATATTTTCTTATTTAGAATACCCTGTATATAAAATAATATATAAAATAAAATTTACACGCGCGCACACACACACATGTAAACATACATTTATATATTATTTTAAATATATATTTGAAGCCGTTTAGGTGCAAACTTTTAGCTGCAACCGTTTAGGTGCAAACTTTTAGCTGCAACCGTTTAGGTGCAAACTTTTAAATTATATTTGACTTTAAGATTGCTGAATTTTCATTACATTACAACTCACCATAGCTAAATGAACCAGTATCTAAATTTGTTTTGATTTCACTCAACACTTCCTGAATGAAATCTCGTTCACAAAGTGAATGACCAACCAACTTTCTTAAGTTAAAGGCACTGCATATGTATGTGTCGATTAATGGCCGTAATATTGTATGCAGAAACTCCATGCGCGTGGAGTGTTCCGGCATTAAGCTCAGCTAAAAACATAAAATGATATGCACACAAATATGAAATACGATCGCTTTATCCCACAAAGACAAAATTACAAAATAATTTGTATTAATTTTTCTTTGTACGAAAAAAGTTAATATAAAATATTTTATATCAGTAATGTTTATATTAATTATTAATTGGCATTATTTTTTATGTTAATGACAATGTGATATTTTTTGTAAGTCTTTGTGCGAAAATTCTAAATTTATATTTAGAAGAAATTTGAGAAAAAACTTACTTTATATTGAACTTTTTGAACTTTCTGTTCCCTATAGTATTCTTCGTCTGAACTATCGTCGAAACTTTTTGCATATCTTTTGCTCCACAGTTCCTCTTCAAGATAAGTTTCCTATATGAAAACCGTTATTTTTTATAATAATTTAGATGATATATTTGGTTTGTTGAAATGCCATACCTCTTTCTGAGTGATAATGCCCGTATATGATAAATTTTGTATCGTTTCGACAACTACGTCTCTCAATTCCTGGCAAGGTCTGCAGAAAATAAACTCATACCTCAGAATGTCGCATAATTTGAGTGCTCGTTCGATCAAACTATGTTGATATATTGTAATATTGTTTTCGGCAATTGCGACTGGATCATTAATCTCAGATTGCAATTCAGCATACAAAGCAGTTACTGAAAAATATAATATCGAGTATGTCACAAAATTGCAGTAAGACATGTTAATTGTTGGTTATGTCTTACTTATTATGCTGTCCATAACGTAGTGTACCAACATGGTGTTGCTATAGTAGGAGAGCTCGATTACGTTTGGTAGGGTCAACATGGGACGGATTGCAATGATGGATTCGACGGACTGACCGTCCACATCTGTAATCTCCTGTCGCTGTCGTGTTACTAAATCAGGACCTAAGATATCTAGCTGTAAAAGATACAAATGAACAAATTTATCTCTCATCAATAAAATTTTGCTTATTTTATCTGTTCCCTGCTAACTACTAACCGCATGTTTAATAATATCAATGCTCTCTCCACAAAACGCCACATCCTTGTTGCTTCGTTCCAACTCTTGTCGTATCAAATCAAACGCCTTAATTAATTTGTCTAACGTACAACCGTCTCTAAATCTACTTAATAGTAAAAATGCAACAACATTAGTTGACATGATGGGCGTGGATTTAGATGAATCTGAAAAAAATATGATTGCAATAGGAGTCAGATTATTAGATTTTTTTAAACCAATTAAGAACAAAATTCTTTTATATAGAAAGGAAAGTCTACGATCATTAAGTTTCTACACATGCGTTAGATAGTAATATATAGTCTGTGGGCCAGTCTAATATTGTAAGACATCAAAAGACACAGTCTCGAGCCAAATGCACGCGTGAAGCAACGAGCTCGCGGCCAACTGTATGTATATTTACGCAACGAAACTAGTTGAACGCAGGCAAGATTTCTTGTTGCAGTACTTTCATATACATCAACAATCACTTTCGACTACGTTGAAACAGCACTACTAACCTCTATTAGTCAACAGCGAGAATTAATTTAAGTACCTAATATAATAAGATCAGTAAAGAGAATTGTTTTATGCTTATAAAATACGATGGGTTAGAGATGGGATCTTTTCTATTTTTTTATAACAATGAATAATTCTGAAGTAAATTCAATTCAAGGCAACCATTTATCAGATATCGTGTTCCACACTTAATCGTACAGTCTGTACTTTGTATTGGAATAAAAATATCACATTTAAAAAAAACTTTATTTTCCTAATAATATAGATTAAATTTTTAATGTGGAAAACTATATATATATAGGATATTCGAAAAATTCGTTTCAAATTTCGCGCGTTCCGCGTTGCTATGGCATTCAGTGAGAAATAAAGCGCTTCAGCCGATTTGGTGTTTGATAACAAATATTCCCGGATTTGTGAGCCCCCCAAGAGAAACTTGCAAGTCTTCCTAAATGCAACTATTTCGGCAGAAATCAGGTGGAAGGATGAAAAAGCAAAAGGTTCACTTTCACTACGTGATGTTGTATTGTTTCCAGTGTAGCTTCACAACTTCACAGACCCTGAATGAGATGTCCTTTGTATATGGAGATGCCTGCCATCATCCATCAGACAGTTTGAGAGTGGTATCGAAGGTCCGAAGCTGACTCTTCATCCAAAGAAGTTTCTTCTAAACATCTGGTGAGATTTTAAGAGCATGATGTATCATGAACTTCTTCAGCCGAACGGGACAATCAACGCGGCGAAGTACAGCTTCTAATTGGACGAACTGAAGGTTGACGAAGGCTGCCATCGCACGGAACCGCCTGAATTGACCAACAGGCTTGGAGTTGTCTTTCACCATGACAATCCCAGACCTCACGTCACGATGTTCATGCGTAGGAAGCTGCTTCCTTCGAATGGGACATTCTTCTTCATCGTCCATATTCTCCCGATCTTGCCCATTTGACTACGATTCCTTTTTTTGAAAAATTTCTTCGGGACAAAAAATTCGGGCTTTGAAAACCCTCCAAAATTCGCCTCAATCAATTCCTCGCCAGGAAGAAACCTTCGTTTTGAATCAAGGACATCATACAGATACCCAAAAGATGGACCAAAATCATTGAATAAAGCGGTACATATTTCTTTCAATAAAGTTACTCCTTAAATAAAATATTGCGTCCTAAACTTTCATAGAGGATTTGAAACGAACTTTCCGAACGACTTAATAGATAGTGTTTGGAGAAGTGTTAAAAATTATTCAGAATTCTTCAGTTTATTTCTGAATTTTCCTAAAAAACGTTTCAATTCGTATAAAAAATCTGAAACATTTTGAGAAAATCTTCAGATATTTAGATACTTTGAAAAATAATATTAAAAATTCTGAGATATTTTTTTACCAAGATATATATTTTTTATATTTTTTATATATTAATTTGGCAGAAAGAGAGAGAGAGAGAGAGAGAGAGAGAGANAGAGAGAGAGAGAGAGAGAGAGAGAGAGAGAGAGAGAGAGAGAGGAAAAATCATAATTAACACTTTGCAGTCCGCGGCCCATCCGAAGGCATAATACGCAAGTAGCCGCGCTTATTTGGTTGATTTTCTTCTTATACAAATGTTGATATCTAAAAAACTATTGAACCTAGCGTATTCAAACAACTTTCATCGTGAAGTTCATTCTTTTCTTTATTATTAAACACTATAAAAGTTAACTTTTCTGTGAAAGCTTTACTTTCTGAGACCACCAATATCATGGTCTATTTTGTGCTGGAAAAAAATCAAACATAAATATAATCGACTTTTTAAGCGCATAAATTATATCAAGAGGATTAATAAAAGAATAGAAAACATACTCCTCTTCTCGTTTACATGCGCAAATATGTAACACAAACTCGTTTACTTGCAAACATTGTTTTTTTCTCCGCGGATATAAATTAATATTCTCATCGTCTGATGATTCTGACAAATTCGTCGAGGAATTTTCGATCAACTTGAATCGAAAAACTAGCTCTAAAAGAACCATCCTAACACTTGGAGCGATTGTCAATTGTTTTGACATAGCTACGAATCGCTATTCATCTGTTTTGCATGTTGCCAGTTGCTTAAAATCGCATTTGTTTCGATTTATAGATAAAATCAATGTTGTCAGGTCGCGACGGCACAGTGCCATCGACGGACCGCAAAGTGTTAAAAAATAATAATTGTATAGCCAAAAATAATGATTTCATCATTTTAACTAACCGTATACAATGTGTCTGGCAATTCTGTCTACTAACTGACGGTGCTCCTCGACAACGATGTCTGTACCGTAAATAGACGTACTCGATATGGAGGATTTTAAAGATCCTTCCGATAAAGGTTTTATAATCGCTTTGTTCTGTTGAGCTTGGAAAGTCTTCACCATTTCCTGCCAGGAATCAGAACCTTTTATATTATTTATTCCTGTATGTTATGAATTTTTTTAAACACAAAAAAGAATATCTTTTACCCTAAGAGAAAACGGTTGGCAGAAATCAATCTTGACGATACCATAATGACCTCTTAAAGTCGACCACATGGCCTTGATCGTCGATGCAAAAGTTTCCATTTTTTTCGGTTGCCCTAATTGTTCTCGAACAAAATTTCCATCTACTAATCGTTCATAATTCATTGCTACAGGTATCAACAATGCATCTTCAATGGTACCCTCCATGTACGCATCAATAATGACGCTCAAAATACCACCTTTCGGCATACAAGGCTTGCCAGTTCGAGTGCGGCCACCTTCCACGAAAAGTTCCATGTTGTGTCCAGCCCGTAAACTCTCCATGATGTATGTTTGAAGAATTGTGCGATAAAGAATATCTTTACGTCCTATCACTGCATCCATACGACGTTTGATGAAAAAGGCACCCAGACCTCTTAAAAGCCACCTGTCAATTATACATAAACAAAGAATTAAAATAATTAAAAATATATAAAAAATATAATTTTTTCATTGTTGGGAAAAATAATAAGATTATTTCAAAGCAGATTTTTCGAATTTCATGCAAGATAAATTTTTTATTGCAGTAGGTTATATTATTTATTAGCGCGATGATTGATTACGAATTATACTTACTAATTTAAACAAAACATTAAAATCGAAAAGTATATTTAAAATTTATCGAATTAATAAACATGAATTGTACAGAAACTTGTGGAAGTCAGATATATAAGCGCGCCAAATGCGCGTCACCACGCATTTTGCTTTTCGAAGTTAATCGCCTTAGACCACACGCGATAGAGCATTCATTGTAGAAACAAGTCTCGAACAAAGCAAGACACGCCTTGTATCGTTTTAATAAATCTTTCTTTATATCTGTTAATCGCTTATTCCATCCAGACCACGCAATTGTCTTCTACATTATTTAGAGATGGTCAATGTTGAAGATCTCTTATCAGATCACATATCCGTACTGATGACAATAAACCATACGATCATACGTAGAAAAAAGAGACACATGCTCACTAATAAGCACATCGATTAGGATAAATTCAGAATGGAAGTGGATAAATCAATTCAGTTGAAAGTGAGACTTAAAATCACGGAAGAACTAAACGCACAAGCGCAAAACTTTATAGATAAAATTCATAAAGCTGCGAGCAGCTCAACAACTCCTAAAAATACATTGGCTCAAGAAATTTGCTACCCTACAGAGATCAGAGAAATGATCAAAAAAAGAAGAAAGGTACGCCGAAGCTGGCATCTATTTCGGAATCTGGAGGATAAGAAATCGTTTAACCGCATTAGTAATCAGTTGACTCAAATAATCAAGGACTTCAATGACAAAAATTTTAAAGCATATTTGGAAAATCTCTCTGCTGATATGGAAACGGAATATTCCTTATGGAAAGCAACTCGTAAATTCAAACGACCTCTTTTCGAAATTCTCTCTCTTAAAGACGAAAATGGAAGCTAGGTATGAAGTGATAAGGAGAAAACAGAACTATTTACTCGTTACTTGCCAACGGTGTTTCAAACCCACGACAATCGAGGATAGTACCGAACAAGTCATATAATAATAATATACAGATCAAATATATAACATCCAAAGAGATAGCACAAGAAATTGACAATAATATGAATCCCAAAAGAGCACCTGGCATTGATGAAATCTCACCTAGAATACTAAAAGAATTATCGAGAGAGAGAATAATAACGCTTACGTACATATTTAACGCATGTTTACGACTTAAGAATATGCCTGACTGTTTCAAAACAGCCTAGATCATTATGCTCAGGAAATCAGAGAAACCAAAGGAAGAGGTATCTTCATATAGACTAATATCATTACTACCTATGACATCTAAGCTATTTGAAAAACTGCTCCTTAAGCGTCTAAAGCCATTGTTAAGTATACCGGATCATCAATTTGGTTTTCGGAAACACTTTCGACCATAGGCCAAGTGCATAGGGTCACTTCGGTCATAGAAAAGGCGTTCAAAGAAAAGAAATGTATATATCATATTAGTTATATTATAAACGATTACTCACCCGAAAAACGGGATTCTCAAATTGTCCCCAGCCGCAATTAACGGATTCCTCATATTATTTACGACCATAATGAAACTGATCATTATATAATCCAAATGACTGCGATGTAAGGGCAAAAACACAAGCGGTAGGCCAGTGTCATTTGTCTTCTTCAGTAATTCTACTTGAGAAGGTAAGACGATGGCCGATTGTATGAAACTAGGAAGTAATTTATACAGCAGCCATGCGACTATCTTAAGAAGGATGTCACTACATCTGCTTTCCATCTGCAGTAATATGTTTTTGGCTTTGATTTTTGCCTTTGCAAGTGCTTTCTTCTCGTTACAATTCTCATTGTTAGCTATCTCACAAGCAGATAAATTGATAACTTCTTTCAATTTTTCATTATTCAGTACCTACAATAGTAGTAATCTGATAATAAGTTCAACAAAGTCAATTATTTGCGTAAGAACTTCAATATTACATTAAAACTTACTGTTTGTGTGACCATTGGATAATCGAATCTCTTGAAGTTAGAGACTTGTGATACATAATTGAATACTTTTGAGAAAAATGTAGAACCTGATTTCACCACTAATATATTCAAACCGAATTGCTGCCGCTGCTGTTTAGTCACGGCGCTTACTAATGAATCCTGAAAGGTAGATTGATATTAGTATATTACGCAAAGGTATATAAAACCTGTAAACAAAAAAGACAAAATGATGAAAATACCTAATATATACACCGAAAGTAGATAACTTCTACAAATTATGTTACTTATTTTATACGTTTGCTATTTCATTTTACAAACCCTCATCACAGTCCACTCTGTATTTTTTATATAATAGTGTAAAATAAGCTTAACTCGTTCATGTGGAAAACGAGATTCTTAATGCATAAAAAGATTACCGCTGTTAGATATGTGTGATGCTGGTAGCAAACGTGTTACATTTCTTATTAACTTACATTTTTTGAATATTCACGAACAATCATAATACGCAATCACCGTAATAAAAAACCACATGGTTCTTTATATATTTCTTTTTCACCAAAACATCGACTGTGTTTATTATCATTGACTATATTTATTATCAATATGATCACACATAAAATGTATCGTTAGTATTACTCAATTGATTTCATCTATGATCATACAGAGTGCGTCAGCTAAATCCGGACAAAATAAACAATGTATTTGTTTATTTATTTTATTTTAAACAATGTATTTGTTTATTTATTTTAACAAAAGTTTACTGGTCAAAATTACATAAAACCTTTTTTCGTGTCATTTGAAAAACCATTATAGACAAAAATTACTCAATATAACCACCGTCTGCCGCAATTACTGCCTCGATCCAGGGCCTGAAACGATTGCACGCCAGCTGGTCCATATTGAAGAATGCTGCTTCAATAGGGGCCTGGAGAGATACCACATTAGGATGTCTCGACTTGTTAGTGACCCTTTCAATCACGCTCCACATGTAATAGTCCGGATTTAAATCTGGATTATTCAAAGGCCAAAACTCTTTGCTCCAAAATATGTCGACGTTGACTTTTTTCATTCTAGCAGCCTCAGACAGCATCTGTCATACCTTTATGACGTACGACTTGTAACGTAGGTCCTATTCGGCTATTCGGCACATAGCCTCACTCACACCCAAAATTGTCGCCAATTTTCTGAGAGACTGCTCTGGATCTTCTACGATCAGCTCTTGGGTTCTTTGGACAACTTCCGGGGTCCTTACCGACTTCTCCCTTGTATTTGCTCTTCCTCGACGAGTTTGCGGAACCTTCTTCGGACTTCTCCGAAGCCTTATATTTAGCGGAAACTTCGTAAACTGTCGATCTCGGATATTTGAAGAAAATTATTTCGGCCGGCATATGTCCAACGCGAAGACTTTCAATAATCGCCGCTCTTCGGTTATATTCCATGGTCGATCTTGACTACTCAGTCATTTTGAAGTTATATTCGTTCATAACATTGTTTTAGCTTACTCAAACACAAATATCAACTTAGCAATGAAGTAAAATATGGCAGAAAATTGAAATTGAAATTTGTCCGGATTTAACTAACGCACTCTATATATATCTTTTACACACAGCTATTTTATAACTTTATCTGTCATCGAATATTTGAAATGACTAATTAGAGTGGGAATTATAAAACTTACAAATTCATCTATAGTATTGTTATAATCGCATACTTGTAACTTACAAATTAAAACTTATTAACAAAAAAATACAGAGAGCGCCTCATTGATTTTGATCTCTTTGCACGTAGTGAATCTACATAAAAAGCGTCCAAAATACATGACAAATTTATTTCCACGTGTTAAATGAGAAAAAATAAAAAAAAAAATTGTAACAACACAGATCGATCTTATGTTCTTCCTACTGTTATTTATTACTAGTCTTGCTACTATTGACTGCGCACGCGGCACTACTTAGCTAGCTTCCTTTCTGTCGGGTTCTTGGTGCAAACTATTGAACACTTAAAATTTTAAACATTAAAAACTACTATTTAGAAGGCGCATTGGACAAAATGCTCAAACACGGATTTACTTATTTTTAATGTAGATTCATCAAGCACAAGAAGATCAAAATCAGTGAGGCGTTCACTATGTCCTCTCTTTGCAACTATAATCCAAAATATTTATACGAGAATAAATATTTATCGATGTCTTCTTCCTTTATAATAAAGCTCGAAAGTCACTGCGGAAATTCGTGCGCAAGCAACTACAAAAGAAGTTCGGCAAACTTTTAGAAGCTGAAGGTGAGCTTTATGGTGCTGACATAGCAGATTAGAGATAAGATCATTTTATAAAAAAATGTCATTTGGAATTTTCTTTTGTTTTTCTCAAAATCATGTTTTCCAAGACGGGTGTAAATTTTTCTATGAAACAAATAATCTGATCGACTCCATTTTTGGCAGGAATATTTTTAAAAAGATTATCTATCGTATAATGTACGATTTTTTAAATATATTAATCTGTTTATTTATAACAAATTTTTTAAGTTCTTATTTTAAGATTTTTTTTTTTTTTAATCGAGTTGCTTCCCCATATTTCTCGACAAAAGTCTTACACAATAGCTACTATATCTGTTTACAAGAAAATATTTTATTTTTTGATTTCAGAACGCCTCCGCCCCCGGAATTACACCCGTCCGATCCCGCCACGACAAGGGAACTTTACGGAAATTGTTCTATAGCTTAAAATTTTAGTCAATCTCCTTAAAAATGTGCAAATTTGTAGTTTAAATATTGCATATCATACCCATAAAATATAAATTAATTTTACTGTAGTTAATTTAAAAAAAAAAAAATCTTAAACTTGTGCTTATTTTAGACCCTATCAGGGTCTAAGGAATCAGACCCCTTAAATGTCGATGAAAAGCCGATCGAAAATTGCTGACAATAAATTTGACGGCATATAGACACAAAAAACTTACTCTGGAAGTAGGAGTACAAGTATAACAGCAGTAGCGTAAAAATGAGGTTTTTTGCTTCATCGTAGGCGTCATAGGTTCAGTCTCTTTGATTTTGAACAATGAACTCTGACGTATCTTTCGCGACTGTTCCTTTTCGTGGATCTTCCTTCTCTGGAACTGTTCTCCAGCTCTCCGGAGACCTGTCGATATGTTTCAGACTTAGACAAAGAAAGTTTATTTACGACGTATTTATTTGCACATGCCAACACGTTTTACATTTTTGTTCCTCACTGACTTAAACTTTTAGTCACCCAAAATTTGGAATTTCCGATGCTAATCTTACATAACATTAATAGAACATCTGGGATTCTTCTTATTAAAAATATTAAAAAATACTATTTCGATAGTTAATTACTTGAGGGCTATGGCGGGGGCTATAAGGACTATATCCACAGAGGCGCTAGAGGTAGTCCTCAGTGTATTCCCTCTGGAGATAATCATCACCGGAGCGGCAAATACTACAGCATATAGACTGAAATGTCAAGGGAAATGAAAGAACATCTGATTGGAGCATACTAGGCTCAGATGGTTGCAAGAATATCTCCTCATTTTAAAACAGGACAAATGATCGAAAAAATATCTGTTGGACAAAGGCTTCAAAAGGCTTCAAAACTTGTACCTAGAGTACTTGACTAGAGAAGACTGGCTAAGGCTATGCCGAGCAAACAATCACAACACTAGTTAGTGGTTCACAGACGGTTCAGGATTAAATAATTGAGGATAGATAACACCACTGCGAAAGCTTACATTAATAGAATGGGAGAAATACGATATCCACAGTTGAACACTATAGCTAGACATATTTGGCAATGGTGTGAGAAGAGAAACACATAGATTTTTGCGACTTATATTGCATCTAGAGATAATATAGAAGCAAATAAGGGATCACGTATTGCTAAGATACAGAGTGGGAATTAGCACCATGGATTTTCGATAATATTACTAAGGAATTCGGACAGCCAGAAATTAATTTATTTGTGTCGAGGACAAGTGCGAAATGCGAAAAGTTTTGCTCAGAGAGATCCATTGCATAGAGATCCAGAGTCATAAGCTATAGACGCTTTCACAATAAATTGGAAACTATATAAATCTAACGCATTTCCGTCATTCGCGTTGATATTACAAATATTGAGAAAAGTACAGTTAAATCAGGCATAGGGCATAATGGTAGTTTCGAACTGAAAAACACAATCATGGTTTCTATTATAGAAAATAATGTGAGTATGTCTACCACTTTATTACGGACCGGATAAATCTATCTTACTGTCTCATTGCAGGATACTTCAACATCTGCTAGCGTTAAAATTAGTACTAATGGCCGGAATCTTACCAGGGAAGCGTTCAGAAGACAAGATATTTCAGAACAATTGAAAGAATTAACTATATTTTGTATTGGCAAAAGATATGATGCGATCAACCCGAAGATTAACCAAGTACTTTTATGGTTAACGGAAAAATATGAGAATAGAGCTTCGTATAGAATAATTAATACTGCTAGATCGCTCTCGCTCTTCTCGCTCTGCGGTGAGAAAATAAGCGAAAACCCGATTATATCAAGACTAGTAAGGAGAATCTTAAATAAGAGATCAAGCAAACCTAAATACGATAAGATATATGATCTAGAGCCAGTTCTAGGAAAACTAGAGAAGTATTATCTATAAGAAGATTTAGATATAGTAAAGCTGATCAAGAAATTGATGGTTCTTTTGGCTATAATTATTACATAACATAAATAAACGTTGCACTCCATCAAGATGAAGAACATTAGGAAAACTCAACAAGGATATGAAATTAAAATATCAGACGTAATAAAGACTACGTGCCCAGAAGCATTCTAGTCGTTGCTGGTGTTACTACGGTTTAATAATAAGCCAAAAATATGTATGGCGAGAATGTTAGAAGTATACATAGCAACTATAGAAAAGGTTCGCGGAGGAAAAAAATCTTTATTCATCACAACCAAAAGACCTTATAAAGAAACAACTAAGGGCACAATTAGTCGATGGATTCAATCCTTTTTATTTAAATGCAGTGTAGGAGAAGAGCTCGCCCCACGTTAGGCACGCTTTAACGTCTGCCACGTGGAAAAAAGGGGTAGACATAACTGTTATTAAATGTTTAGTAGAGTGGTCGGAACGATCACGGACGTTTGATAGATTTTATAACCGTCCAATCGTTAATAAGAGAACGACATTCGCTGAGACAATAATAGCACAGAGTTATATAATACATAAATTATATATACGGGGTCTTTGAAAAATATGGAAACGGTCAAATAACTCGTCAGGGATGCATTTTAGAAAAAAAAAATGTTACAAGGGAAGTTGTTGGGTTTCAAAAAACCTATCTAATGGTTAAGGTCCATTTGGGCCCGGACCTAAAACTTGGGCCCTATGAAAACCAAATAGATTTTTTAAAATGGCAGTTGGATCAGGCTCCAAATTTGGGCCTCACTAGATCCAAATCCTCTAAAGGCAGGAAGTCGAATAACTCGTCAAGGATTGTATTTATGAAACAAAATGTTAAGGGGAAAAGTTTTTAGGTTCTAAAAAGTCTGATTGATGAGGTACATTTGGTTCTGGGCCCATTTTGTTCTGGTACTATTACGCTGCAAAGTTGGGCTAGTCTCAACATTTAGGCCTTGCGTAGTCTAATTGGGGGCTTGACCCAACTTAAACTATATATTTGGAAAGAAAAAATCGTCAGGAACACGAATCAGCTAAAAAAAAAAACTGATATTGCCATTTAAAAAATCTACTTGGTTTTCATAGGATTCAAGTTTCGGACCCGGGCTCAAATGGGCTCAAATGGCCTTAAACATTAAATAGGTTTATTGAAACTCAACAACTTCTCCTATAATATTTTTTTCCTAAAATGCGTTACTCACCAGTTATTCGACCGCCCCTGCCTTTGGAAGATCTGGATCTAGTGAGGCCCAAATTTAGGACCTAATCCAACTTAAGCTAGATGTTTGGAAAAGAAAAATCGTCAGGAGCACGAATCTGTCATTAAAAAAATTGGCATTGCCATTAAAAAAAATATACGATCGTTCGATCGTAATTATGCAGAGGGTCTCGTTCAAAAAGATCACTGCCCATCAAAAAAAAGGATAGCTTGAAAATTAAAAGACTTTCCCCGTCCCCCAACAACATAATGCAAATACTTTAAACTTTATGACGAAGAAAATGATAGAACTTAAAGTAGTAGTAAGGTCTACCAACACTTTTTGAGAGCTGAAGATTGTGACGACTTCTAGCGACATAAACGGTATACCGATTTTTAGAACCTACTAATCTTTTGGAACGAGAGTCTCTGCATAATTACGGTCGAACAAGCCCACCGAAGGTACAATTAAGAAGTAAGAAAAAAAATATCTCCGTTACCATCTAATGAGAATCGAGTGGTCGTTGGTTTTGCATTTCGTGTTATATCTGTTCTAGTTTCCCATTTGGCATACACCTCTTGAAGGCGTGTAGAAAGAACATCCACCATATTATTGGGTCTGCAAAATGATATTTAAATCAATTAGATAAAAAGAAAAATTTTAATTTAAATAAAAAATAACTAATATGTATGCTTCTTCTTAATCCTTTAATAATAATACATAATAATACATAATAATACATTTAATAACACATAACTTCGTAATAAAAGTTTATAGAAACAAAAGTAATACAAAAAAATAATAATTTCAATGAATTTAAATCAATTGCCGTTAATATTTAAAATTTTTCTAAAAATTACATGAGGTAAAGATTTAATTAAACATACTGAGACTGTTATATTATATTATAAAAAGATAAAAAAAATGTTGCAATGCTTTTGGAAGACTATCTACATATATCAAAAAGTTAAAACAGAATGTCATGTTACGAAATTAGCTGTTTTAACACAAAATACGCACAAAGTTTGTACAATACAATTAGAATGTACAATTCATAGAACTATTTTTTACAGTCGGTGAATAGGCTCTATGATTAATTCATTGGTTATCGAATATAATAAAAACGCGATACACATAGTACACATCTTGGGCATCTTCAATGATCAATCGCAAAAACAACAATTCTAATGCATTGTATGAAAAATAAAAAAAATATAAAATCTGTCATGGAGCGAATGTTAATTAATGAAAGTAAAATCTTATAAGACATCTAATGATGTTTTACTCTTTCATTAGAAATGAGAAATCGTAATAGGAAAATCCGAGGCATAATTGGAACACTAAGGTTTGAACAAATTTTAAACATATTAAAAATAAATTAATCAATTTGCTTTTACACACAAATATTCTTTGAACTATCCACTATAAAAAAAAATGTTGCAATGCAAAAAACACAAATTTCATAGCGAAAGAATAATTTAAAACGACGAAATTATTATTTTACTGAAAGCATACATTTACTTCATTGTTTCTTATGCGGGGTATAATGGAATACTTCATAAACTGTTTCTTTCTCGAATATTAACGTTCGAAATTTTTTTTAAGTGATTTAGAACATATAATTTATGTAAAGTGACTTTGGTTTTATGGAAATTAAGCCAGAAAGTCTTTGTTCTATGTTAATCATATATTCAGAGAATTTCTTTTCTTGTTCTTCTGTAAATACTGTAAATAGTGTTTTAAAAGCGCTTATATTTGTAACTTTTACTACTTTGTAATTTTACTACTTTCACAACTGTTCTTCATTTTCTTAACATATCGTTGTAATCGTTTTGGGAACTCCAAATATAATTGAAACTTTACGATAGGCCATTTTTCTGTTATACCCCGAAATATATAAGTTTAAGCAACATAAAACATCACAGAAAATCAATATTTACATAGATTCTATACTAAAGTGATAAAAAAATATCGTTTAATAATATAATGTAAATATATCTGCGGTAATAAAAAAATTGAATTTTACTGTTGCTCACTTTATGAAAATATATCAAAGAAATTGCGACTCACGAGAAAAGGACACAGTGGGTGCCTGGCCGATTTTGGTCTTCTTGCACGTGGTAAGTCTACATAAAAAATAAATAAATCCCCTGTCCGAGTGTTTTGTCCGATACGCTTTCTACATAATTTTTAATGTTTGAAATTTTAAACGTTCAGTAGTGTACGTCAAAAATCCAATAGAAAGGAAGTTAACCCTTATTGGACGCTAGCTTTTTATGCGTGATTCTCACTAGGTTGTAGCTAGTTTCGGTAAATATGCGAACTTGTCACTTCCTACGTGATGTACGACCGCAGCGACGAAGTATTGTTGTCACGTGAGAGGTAATTTATGACCGATAAGGGTTAACAAGCGGTGGTGCATAACGCAAGCAGTAGTCGTAAAACTAGTAATAAGTAATAGGAAGAATAAAAAATCGAAACTGCGTCGTGACAATTTTTTATTTTTTTCCTCTTAATATGTAGAAATAAATATTTGGCATATATTTTAGTAAGCATATATTTTAGTACGCTTTGTGCAAGCATTTTAATTAATTAAGTAAGACATTTTTAATATATTTATATATTTTGGAAACAGATTCACTTTATTTTAAAGGTGTTTTTACCGATGATGACAGCAACTATAGCTCAACAATAAAAATTATTCCTCTTCATTGCACTCCGTACTGTCAATCATGCAAAGTTTATTTTTTTTGACAAATAAAAAATTTTATTATATATTTAAAATTGTATTGGAAGACTCTAGAAGTAGTTTTGTAGAAATTTTACAAAGGAAACGACATCTACAAAATTATCTACAAAAGACGATCATTCTGTCCAACTTTCTGCTCTAACCTTTGAATGTAAAATTAAATATATGTAGTTTTGCATCCAAATTAATTTTCGAAAGAAATTTGTTTTCGAATGTTAACACATTAACGGCGGGCGATATTTTGTGTGATCATAAAAACTTTAAGGTACAGTCGAGCTAAATTGTTTTACTACGACTCCCGCCTTTAAGCCGCAGTCGAGCTAAATCGTAGTACTACGACTCCCGCCCTTAATGTGTTAATAAAGTTTATTTTTCCAAAATTATCCGATAAATCAAATGTAATTGCATGGCGTGTGGTTCCTTTCTGTCGGGCTGTCGACAGAAAGGAACCCAGCACAATACTAGATGCTTGAAAACTCAAACATTAAAAACTATTATTTAGAAGGCTTAGACAAAAAACGCTTGAACACAGGTTTATTTATTTTTTATGTAGATTCACTACAAGGGAATCAAAATCGGTGAGGCGCTCACATCCTTTCCTTGTAAACTTCAATCAATAAATAGACAAATAGCACGATGCAACTCTCCAACATTCGCGAGAAATTTATATGAAAAATTTCTCGCGTGCTTTACTACCGCTTACAAAAAAAAACCTCAACAACTAACGAACGTAATAGATTAGCAGAGGTAACAGGTTGGAATGCTATATTTTGGGTTTGTTTTGTCAAGTGTTATATACGTGATGTTAGATACACGCCTATATTTACTTTTCCAAAAATTAAGACAAATGGATCCCAAGGAATATACGTATATAAAGATATATGCATGTATAAATATGTTAGATGTTTTTAATTTATTTAAAAACAAAATGATAAGATTTATTAATCAAATATAAGTCAAAATTATAAAGCTTTTCAGTGAAATAAAAAATTACATGACATAATTATTTTTATGCTAAACAATGAAATTATTTGAAAAATTAAACAATCATATTAGTTGATTCAAGTATATAATGGTATATAATAGTCTATTTGGATTATTGTAATAGATAAATTTCTCCAGATTTAGCAAACTTTATTAAATTCAAAAAAATATTTTTCTCTGTCTATGCGTGATAAGCATTTTATTTGTATTTTCAGGAACATTTGCCGGAAATTTCTTAAATAAATACAGAAATTGGAAATGCAATTATAATGAAAACTATGACTTTTATTTTAAAATATAATATAGGGAATGTAAGTCAAAGAAAACACGCTTTTTTGTTATAAATGAATTAAAGTTTATTTCAAAAGGTTTTCAAATTAATCTACGATCTCTCATGCGCGTGTGTATGTGTGTGCGTGCATGTGCACGCGTGCATCGGGTGTTTATCAATAAGTCAGTAATATTCGGAAGATAAAAAAAAACTTGAGAGAATAAAAAATACCGATAAGACATCGGCTACCGTGAGATAATTTTAAATCAAGAATATTGATACTTTTCAATTTTGGAATATCGAATTAATTATTATAGCAACAGTTGTGTGTATATTGTAAAAACAAATAATAATCATACGTATTACCGATAATAGATCGAGGATACATTCGATGACTTGGTCGTATTTATGGTACATACTAACAAAAGGAAAGAGAGTTTGGACTTGTTCAATGATACTTGTCAAAGTCCATATTGATAAGCCTATCACATGAACAACACATGAAGAAGGCCCGGTTACTGCAATAACAAACTCAACAGAATAAACAGAGCTGGTTAGTTTTGTTCTTTTTCTTTTCCTTCTTTGATGCATGGAAATGTAAGAAACGATTAGTAGAAGATTAACATCGCAATCGTTTATAATTCAAGATATATAAATTGCGGAATTGCAACAAATTAACAAACGGTGCATTGAACAGTATATTGAAGAATAAAATAGAAAAATGTGAACGTGGGAACAAAGAAAAATTCGTTTTTTCTCGCTTATTTTCGAAATGTTGCTAATTTTTTTTAGTAATCTTAATCAAACTTAAGGTAAACACTCAAGAGTCTCTGAGATCCTAATGAAATCCCAGAAAATAAAAATTTAAAGATTTGTTATTCTTTGAGCCTTATAGTTTTGTTGATAATAATCAAAATTTTAAGCGCCAAATTTTTTATAATGTCTTGAAATGTATCCTATGAAAATCATAAAGATTTTTCCACTTATCAACAAAAAAGTTGTGAATTTTTCGAGCAACTTTGATAAAATTACGTTTTCCTGAGATAAAAAAAAGTAATTCATGTTCTGTAACGTATGTTTTCCAGTACTTCTTATGATTTTAACTTATTTCTGAGTGAATAGACATATTTGTTGATTAATTTACGATCAATTACAAAATAAAATAATCAAAATACGATATTTTCTCGAATACTGTAATGGAAAGATTGACAAAGAGCTCCTCCTCCAGACCCCAAGATAGTAACTATGTATACAAAAAATAAATATATATAAAAGCAACAAGATATAGTAATATCGTAAATATTTCTGAAACTACATATAGTATATCCCAGTGAAAAGGTGATTGGTTCTATCTCCAATCTGCTTGCAGCACCATCTCTGAATCAACACATGCGTTACATAGTGACATATTTTAACTATCACCATCAAAAATGTCAAGGCGTTAACACGTCTGGTTCATGAGTTATGATACGAAATATGACAATATCTTTTATACATTTGTCGAAAAAACATGATAGAACAACGCACGAACATTAAATTTTGTTTTAAATTTGGCAAAACTGTCACTGAAACGTTTGAAATGATTCAAACTATTTATGGCAGCAAAGCCATAAG